AGGGAAGTTTCTCTTTCAGAAGAGATCCACTGGGGTACAGAGGCCAAACCACACTCCTGGCCCTACATGGCGCTTGTACATTTCTATGATGACCAAAAAGGTCATTGGTACAAATGTGGGTGTTCCCTGATACAAGACAACTTCGTGTTGACAGCAGCTCACTGCAATGGAAGGTGAGCTCTGCCCAAAAAATGGGGCCTTGGCATCCTGGGACCTCCTACACACCCAGGACTTTCAAGCAGGTTCGTGAAAACGCAGAGCACACAGAGGAGCCCCGTGACCTGCGTGGCCAGGCAGAGCAAGTGTGGGGTTCCTCGAGCATCAGAGGGAGGGGGGGCTGCTGAAGCACCATCACAGTCTGGGTCACCCCTGCACAGCACGGAAGGGGGACACCCATCCACCCCTCTTTCCAATATACTCAGCTGGGGGTCTAGATGCTGCGCTTCAACCTGCCCTGTAAAGACTGCGCTGAAGCCCCCCACTTCACATCCCCCTTGTTTTACAGAAATATGACTGTCACGGTGGGAGCTCACAACATCAGAAAGAGGGAAAACACCCGCAGGTCATCCCTGTGCTCAGAGCCTTCCTCCACCAGGACTATGATGCTAAGAAACGTGTCAGTGACATCATGCTGTTGAAGGTACCGTCTTGCTGACTTGCAGGGGCAACTGCACAAGTCACAGGGGCGAGCTCCCCACCATGGGTATGAGTTCCCACCTCCCTCCAACTGGATGCTCGTCCCTAGTCAGTGGATTAGAGGGGGCTTTGGAGACTCTGTGAGGTGCGGGTGGAAGGTGGGTACAGAAGCCTCCCCACAGGCTGAGCCCAGCTGGAGGCCAGAACCTGAACTGCTTCCTCTCTCCCTCTGACCAGCTGGAAAACAAAGCACAACTGAACCAGAACGTGCAGACCATTTCCCTGCCACATATCAGGATGTGGTAGAGCTGGGACAGGTGTGCAGCATGGCAAGCTGGGGAGAAATGACTGATGGGGACTCTCCAGACACACTTCAGAAGGTGGATCTACAAGTGCAGACTGAGCAGAAGTGCAAGGATCTCTTACAAAATTACCCAACAACTCCATTGAGCTGTGTGTGGGAAACCCTAAGACCAAGAAGGCCACTGGAGGTCTAAGGGGGCAATCTCCTTCCCAGTCTTGCCCCAGAGTTTCTGTGACATTGGGGTGCATGACCAGGCTTCTCCCATAGCACAGTGTATAGTGGCCAGGCTCCACTCATGGTTGGAGGCACGTTCTTCCCAGCACAGGGGCAGGTTCTCCCTCCATCAGCCTCTGGGCCTTTGTCCTGGGCCAACAAGGAGCCTGGGCCTGGGCTAAGCTGAGGGGTACACAGCCAGCATCAGCAATGGTGGGGGGAGTCACAGGGGCCTGGACTCTACTTGTCCCCTTACAACGAAGGCCTGGTGATTGATGACCATTCAGTCCCTTCCCTGGGACACCTGAGCCCTGAGAGGGAGGCAGAAAGGACTGGGGGGATGATGAAGCTGAGAGGAGGGAATCAGAGGGCAGTGGATGACACTTGTCCCTTTTCTGTCACAGGGGGACTCTGGGGCCCCGTTCATGTGTAACAGGGTGGCCCAGGGCATTTCAGCTATGCATACAAGGGTCATAAGGTCCTTCTGTGGGTCTTCACCAGGATCTCCAGCTTCCTGCCCTGGACCACAGAACAATGAGTCTCTCCTGGGGTAACTAGACCACTGCCACTTGTTCGTGGTCTCCATCTAAACATCTGGGCGTGGCCGTCTGATTCTTAATAAACACCATTGTCCAGTGAGAGTATTTGTTTCTCTCTGTCCCTTAAATGAAACCACCATGTACTAGGCCCAACTCCTTGTCTTCTCCTGTGCTCCCATCACCTCCTGCATCTGCCCACACATGCCGCCAGCTCACACCTATGCCCTCCTGCAGCGTGGTTGCTAAGGTGCCCATGGTCACTCGCCCCCAGCCCTGGTATCTCTACCCAGAAAGGAAAAACCCTCAAACACCCTACTGCTCCGTGCCACCGTGCGCTCTCCCCCTCCTGAGACTGCCGCTGCCTCTCATGGGGTCTGTCCTGTCGCTGCCTAATAAGCCCCAGTGCTGCCTTCATTCTGGAGCTTTGTGAGACTCTTTTCTCCAGAGACACCAAGGACTGTCCAGTGGGCGGTCCCCACACTAGGGCGTACTGAGTTCCAGGGCAAGTTAGGGTTAAGCAGGCAGCTCCAGGGGCAGTGCAAGCAGGGACTTGAGAGAGTTAAACAGGCTTCTAAGATAAGAACAATAAATTCTAAAATGTGCTTACCAGAATATACTCCAGAGGTGAGGTCAGAAAATCCAGGAGGACCACACAAAGACAGTAAAACTTGAGAAAATAAGACCTTGGACAGGGGAGGTAAACTCTAAGATAAAAGCTGAGAAAATGGGCACAGCTGCCCGGAAGAATATGGCCACTAGGAAAAAAGAGCCCCTCACAATAAAATGATGACATTTTAAAATAGTGAGAAAAAAAGGTTTAAATACCCATGCACTCCAGCCCTCAACGGCTTCCTTGCCCCTCCCAAGCACAGCATACTTGTGAGTCCTACTTTCTTTCTTTAAATAAATTTGTCTTTACTTTCTTAAACAAATTTTGTCTCTCTCTGCTTACTTATCTAAAATGCCTGCAAATTCCTTTTTACGGCTTCATGAGACACCAACCCGTGGTGGTCTAGAGACTGGGACTCTGTGCTGCCTGGGATTCCTTCCTGGCTGGGAGACTAGGCCTGAGAAATGACAGCATCACTAACACAATGTAGCTTCTCAGGAAACATCTTTTGGCTGCATGGAGGCCTCCAATAAGCCCTTGGCTTACGCTTGGTGGACACTGCTGGTAGGATTTGAGACCACGGGGGTGAGGACACAGCCAGAGTCACTGGAGCACTGGGGACTTGGGAAGGCAAGCGGGCGTGGGAGGGACATGGGCCACACAGACCGGGGCAGCCCAGGCCACAGGGGTGCTTTCAGGCAGTCATGTAGCCACTTCTCAGATCCATCCGAGCCTGGCCCCGTCTCTGGCAGCAGGGAGGGGGTGGAGGGCCTGAGAAATTTAACCGGTTCTTAGGCGAGTCTGACCACTCCTCCCACCACAGCCTGAGTCTCTGAGCTGCCCTGCCCTCGGTCTGATGCTCTGGACTCCAAAGCTTTGTCGCTGTAGCTGCCCCCCCTTTGCTGAATGCCTCTCTATGGACAGCCCGTGTCCCAGGCACTGGAAATGCACTCACACCCACTAAGTCTTTGAGGGAACAGCCCTCCTTCCTGCCAACCTGATGAGGGTGTAGGCAGCTTGGGACTTGTTAGTCTGAGTCTGAGGCGAGTTCAGAAAGTTCATGGGCCTGAATTGAGCACAGTCCCTGAATGTGCTGGGCACAAGGGTCAGGAGGACCGGGAGCCCTATGAGGGGGCTAAAGCCTCAGCCATGGGGGTGGTCACTCACCTGTGCTAGCCCCGGGGGGGCAGAAGAAAGGCCAGCAAGAGCAGGAGGGGCTGCATCTCTCTGAGGGCCTGCCCAGGTCAGAGCTGCTAGTGTTTCTTCCTGGCAGACACCAAGACCCAGAGGGAAGTGGGGAGGGGTGGCTCAGAGGCCTCACAGCCTCCTGTACCCACACAGCCCAGTAATGCCGGGTGTCATCACATGAGGCACTTGGGCTAGGTGTGAACAGAGTTAAATGTGTCACAGTGTGTGCAGGGCCTGATGAGTCAGAGGTGAAAGCTCAGGAAAGGACAAGAAAGTGAAGGCTGGGGTGGCAGCCAGCACAGGCTGAGACACCACCAGCCCCGGCTCCTGGCTCTCTTTCTATTCTCACGAAAACGTGAGTGATCGCTCAGCAGGCAAGGTCCAGGCCTCTGAGAGAGCCGGCTCCTGCCCCCAAGAAGCTGACCCCACAGCAGTAGCCTAAGAGCCTGTGCTTAGAGGGCCAGGGGGGTCAGGAAGCGGGGTGTCCTGGCTGGGGTAAGAGATAGACTGGGTTTGCCTTATGAGCAGTGGAGGTGGACTCACCTGAATATCCCATGGTAGCCCTGTTTCCTGTCTTACCACCATTCCAGACTCATACTTTGAGAAGGTTCATATTTCCCTTTTCCAAATCTAAGTGTTCTGTGACAGCTTCTCTTAACCCACAGATTTGAACAGAAGTCCTGGACTTGACAGTCACTGGACAGAAGCCAATCACCCCTGGGTCCCTTGAAGTGTTCTGGTTGGTTTGTGTTTAGGTCACTGACCACCCTTCGGGCTATGGGGCCTGTCCCCCCAAGTCACAGGAAGGGCTCCCTTGCAGAAAAGCTGCCAGTTCTGCCAGATGAGAGGGGTGAACGCCGTTACGCTCCCCATCATGGCACTAGGCCCCTCGTCCCGACACCATATATCTGAGGCTCCTGCACCCGTGACCAGCAGCATCAGCAAACAGCGGCCCCCACACTCCCCAGCAGGACAGCAGGTGATGGAGACCAGGCTGAGACCGACAGCCAGGCCCACTTCTTTTAGAGGAGCAGCATCTTTTGAAGACACAGGACAAGAGCGGGAGGAGACGCAGGGAGCAGGAATGAGGATCATCTCTGGGTAGTCACAGAAATTTCATGTTTTTATTTACACATTCTGTGCTGAACGATCACGCCTTTGAGGAATCTATTACTTTCAGGCCCAGAATTTACTTCCCCGCAGTGTAAGCACTCTCGTCAGTGCAAACAATTCAGCATTCTACTTTCAGTCTTCTCTAAGGCGGAGGCTTTCAAATGAGGTACTTTCTACCTACGTTCTTAGGGAAAGGATTTAGAGGTTGTTGAAAAATAGAAGGAAAAATTTACTCATGAAGCTATAAGCTGTAGGGCAATTTGGGAAACAGGAGGAGTCAATGATTTCCCTCTAGAAATGAAAGTTTGTGAAGCCCCTGGCAGCCCCCCCACCCCCACTGGCCAAAGCTGCTCCAGCCTCTGCCCCAGAGAGGACAGATGACTCAGTCCCTGGCGCCTCAGCCTGGTCCCTGCAGTGTGACTTGTCTCATTGTTTCTTCTACCCAGGGCACAAAGCTTGAGATCCTGGTGAAGAAACGTGGAGGCGTCCCATCCTGGGGCCCGTAGGAGACGATTCCCTGAGCCACCTTGTTACACACCAAGGGGCCCCCGGAGTCACCCTGTGGCAGATGGAGGAAGAACTGAGCGGGGCCTTCTCCTGGTCTTGCCCTGAGGGTGGGGGTCTCTGATAGGGGCTGTGGATGAGATCAGGCTCGGGACATGTCCTAGGGTTCCCGCCTGGCCCTGGCAATTCCCTCCCTCTCCTCTGTCAGGAAGCCTCTGCCCATGAATAGCTGAGGGGCTGTGTCCTGTCCCCTAGAAAGGCGGACCAGAGATGGAAGATGGGAAGGCTGAGTCAATAAGGATATGGCTGGTTCCCACTGCCCTGGGCTCCTCAAAGCCTGGCTGTACCCAGGGTTGGGCATGGACAGTACTGGTGAGCTCACCTTAAATGAAGCCTTTGTTGTTCCAGGCTCTCCCGCACATATCTGGGTGGTGCTGTCGTAAAGATTGTCTTTGAAGACATGGAGGCAAACACTGTCCTTTTGAACTGCAAGGTCTACCTCCTGCAGTTTATGTGCACGCTGGGCAGTGACGCCTAAGCGCCCCCATCCGGCCACAGTGCACACCTTCCCCGGCTTCACTGATTTGTTTTTCCTGGGCAGCCTGATGGTTTTCACATTGGTGTTCAATGTGGCCTTCCGTTGAAGCTGACAGAAAGAAAAGGAAAGGAAACCTTATCTACTGCTGACCCACAAGACAGTCATGGGGTTACCTTCTCACATCCCTTGGACAATGAAGGGTCATAACTGGGAAGAGGACAGGAATGAGGCCACAGGGGATACAAACAGCCCAGGATTAAATGTCAGGACCAAGGGAGAGATTTGCAACCTGCAGCAACATGATGTCATTGGCAATGGTGTTAGCATTATAATCTGGGTGGGGGATGGCCCTCTTCACAGGGATGACCTGCTGGGTCCTCTCCTGCATGGTGATGTCGTGGGCCCCCAGGGTGACAGTCATTGATCTGAAAACAGACCAGAGGGAGAAGTCACAGGAGATACAGCCCAGATGTCTGGCAGGGCAGGGACAGGCGGGGCAAGGGGGGACTGCAGCTGAGGGGAAATGGAGGCAACAGAGGGCTCAGGGAAAATCTGTCTGTGCCCTCTGCTTCTCAGTAACAGAAGGAGTATTCTAGAGCTATTGGTAACTGTGCCACGGACCCCAGAAGTCAATTACCTCAGGAAGGCATGCGAAGTTGCATTAGTCTGCATCTGATGCCCAAGCGGGCCACATTAAAGCCAGCAGGGCTGAGCACTCTCTTCCCTGCAGGTTTCCAGCTTACACTGCCCTGGTCCTTCCTTACCAGCTACCTGCACATTTCTCACTTCTGAGGACTCTTCTGGCTTATGTACTCCTAGAAGCTGGGGAGCTCCTGGGAAGAAGTGGGGCTCTCAGGAGGGTGTGGGCTGTGGCTGCTCCTCACCTCCCTTTACAGTGAGCGGCTGTCAGCACGAAGTCCTCTCGAATCAGGAAACCGCCACACCTCATGTTGTAAAATGGCAGGAATTTGTCACCAAACCAGCTCTCAGATTTCTGATCTGATATCTGTAGAAATGCCATGTAGGGTCGGGAGTGGGGTCTGGCCTCATGTCCACCGATGATCTCTCCTGAAGGAAATGTCTGGTCTGCTTGTGCCCCCACTTACTGCACCTGCCCTGATGCTCACACTACAGGGCTTTTGGGAGCCAGGGTGGCATGGGGCTGGTGGGGGTGCTTAAGGCTCCTCCATTTTCCCTTCCCGGAGGAGGAAAGCCCCTCTGCTTAGCCTGTGCTCTGCCTTCACCCAAAGCTGGAGGTGAGCAGGGCTGTGTCAGGACAGTAAAGTGCTCCAGGCTCTGGAAAACTCCTCTCCTGGTTTTCTTTTATGTCATGTAGTTTCAAGGCCCCTGTGAGTCTGTGCCATCTCTAACAGTGCTGCTTTCTAGAACCCAAGCTGATGTGCAGAGTCTAGATGTTGTCCAGCTTGATTCCTGGGCCTGACTCCTAGAGGTGCCCATGCTCATTGGCTGCAGGAAGCCCCTGTGGCTGAAGAAGGGTTGGAGGGGCTAGTGCTGGGGAATTCTCGAAAGCAGAGAAGCCGCAGTCTGCTGAAGAGTGGCCCATCCTTGAAAAGAGGGGAGCTGCTAAGGACCTGGGAAGAAAAGCAGAGTTGGAGAAAGGGGCTGAGGGGCTCTAGGCTGAGCAAAGGCAAAGCAGTCTTCTGGGGACAGTGTGGTCACCAGGTCTGGTGTCTTCTCTCCTAAGCAGATGTTGAGAGACCCCCTGTCTGGTCCCAGACCCGGAGCCAGGCCCTTGCTGCCCTTGGCAGGGGGATTTACTGTTTGTCATTGCCAGTTTCCCACCCTCTGCATGCACTTCCAGGGAGGCTCCACTCTCCAGATGGCAGGGGCTGGCGGCGCTGGGAGGGGAGACAGCACCACTGGCTCTTCTTGAGAACAGTCCTGGCCAGGCCGGTCCTGCTGGCAGCTTGTCCAACAACACCTTGGGGCCTGATGTGAGACAGGAGCCAGGGTCAGAACATCCTGGCAGGTGGGTCCCACGTATGCAGAAGGGGCAGGGGACCTGTGGCCTCTGAGATGGGGAAGGTCACTCACCTGCCTCTGCCCTGGGGAGCAGCAAACAGGCCAGCAGCAGCGGGAGCAGGAGCGACTGCATCTTCCCAGGAAGGCTGCTTGGTGGAGCCGCTGGGGCGTCCTTTGCCTGGAGAGGATGGAGGAGCAGGTGGGCCCAGTGAGCCGGGGTTCCTTTCTTGTTCTGTGATGTGTCATCCCACAGGGTTTTCTATGAAGGCTGCCCCGCCCCCACACCTGGTGGGGGTCAGGTGATGCTCCCTGGGGGGTGGGAGGGTGTAAGGACCCACAGTGGCCACATCAGTACCCACAGCTGATGACTCAGAAAAGACCACTTGTTCCAACCCTGACAGGAACCCGAGGCTAAGGTGGGGACTAGGAGGTGGTGTTGACCGGTAGAGGTGCCAGAGAACCAGAAATCTAGTCCCCAGTGACAGAAACACCACCCCTTCATCTCCATCCTGCCAAGTCCTTCAGGATAGTTTCTTCATCCCAGGTGCAGGCCCTACTGTGCTGCCACCAGATGCAGACACAGCAGTGCAGGCCATGGTGCACAAGTTAGTGAAAGCCACAGCCACTAAATCCAGACAGCAGCCCTGCCTCATCCAAGCTTCATTCTTTGGGGTATTTCACACCCCTTTAAAATTGCAAATGTGCTCAGGGCCTCCCTGGTGGCACAACCTATGAAGCAATCTGCAGCCTCTGCAGCACAATTTCGATCCCAGGCCAGCAAGGGAGTAACCCACATGGCACAGCAGAACTCTCCTATCTCGCCCCCTGCTGCCCTCAGCAGTGTATGTTTAGTCAGAACAGTCTGTTCTGTTCTTCACTCTGTTTCTGGTGAATTCTCTCCCCCCCCCCCCACCACCACACACACCTCTGGCCTGTACCCCAGCTCTTGTATGCATAAATAAATAAATCTTTAAAAATAAATAAATAAAATTGCAAATGCTCAGATTGAGACCATCTCTCTAGACTTTTGTTTTTACCAAAATTGGCCCTTGATATTGATTGACCTAAATAGCAAGTGTCTATGGCCCTAGAACTTGAGTCCATGGGCTGACAAGCCTGGTCTTTCCTGCTCTGGGGGCACTGGTGTGGGTCCCACTCAAGCACATGGGCTAAGACTGGCAGAGGACGTCTTTTCCCAAGGATGTTAGATTGCTAAGCTACCAATACCATGCGAAGTGGGCAGCATGCTTGGGCACCGGAGACCAGGACTTGACCTTTTGCTGATCTCTGACCTCTGGATAAACCTCAGAATCATTGAGCTAATGAAAGAAGTTGAACACAACGTACCACATAGAAGGTTCCTCTGTGCTCCTCCCACTAGAATAGGACAAGCAGGGCTACAGATACACATAAGTGAAATGTTGGGTCATCCCACAGGACATTAAAGATGATTATTAACAAGTAAGGAGACATCAAATCACTTTATAATTTTGTTTTCTTTTAAAATTTTCAAAAAACTGTAGAAATTAATTGCAACTAAAAATTCTAAAAACTAGGAAAGAGATGTTATAGTCCCATGACATACATTTTTGAACATGGAGGAAAGGCTTCAGTTGTTGAGTTTAGTGACATCAAAGAAAATGGCACTGTAGATCTCATAGGATCCCAGGATTTAAAACTCAGTGCTTATGTAACACTCTGTCTGTGGGAGATTGAATGAATGACAATTTTCCTTCCTACTTTCCATTTTCCTCATGAACATATATTAACACAATAATCAGAAAGGTAATTTATTTTTAAATAAGTTCCACTACAGAGCGAGTTCAAATTTGCTCACCTCCTTGGTTATATTTGTTAGTGGGCATTTTATTTGGGAGAATGCTATTACAAATGGAATTGTACTAATTTCCTTTTTTGGATTATTTATTTCTGGTGTGTAGACTGACAACTGAACTTGTATCCTGCCATGAATTTAATTAATTTATTTATTTTGCTATGGGGTGGGATTTTCTATTTATAGTCATGTCATCTGCCAATAGGTAGTTTTACTTCATTTTCTCCAATTTTTATGCCTTTTTTTTCATTGTGTTGTAAAATTCTTCTGTCCAGGACTTTCAATTCAATGTTAAATAGTGGTGGTGAAGTGGACATACTTATCTTGTTCCTAATATCAGTCTTTTACCACTGCATAGGATGAAAGATTTTTGGGTTTAAGTAAACACATTTTATGATGTTATAAAGTTCCCTTTTATACTTAGTTTGCTGAAACTTTTTCCCCCTCAAAACCATGAACGATTTTCATTTTGTTAAATGAATTTTCTGCATCTATGAGATGATTATATATTTTCCCTTCATTCTATTACTGTGGTGGGTTACACTGATTGAATGTCTAATGTTGAACCACCTTAACTTTTCAGGGGTTAAACCCAATTGCTCATGCACTATAATCCTTTTATTGTGTTGTTGGACTCAATTTGATAATGTCATGTTGAGGAACTTTGCATCTATTTTCATAAAGGACATTGGTGTTCCAGTTTCCTTTTGGTATTTTTGTCGGGCTGGTACCTGGGAATGCTGGCCTTTTAGAATATGTGAGGAAGTATTCTTTCCTGTTCAATTTGTACTAAAGAGTGTCGGTGAGACTGGTGATAATTCTTGGAAAGTTTAGTTAGATTTACCAATGATGCCGTTTGGCCTGGGATATTCTGTGTTGGGAGGTTTCTCATTACTTGTTCAATCTCCTTGTTGTAGTTCTAGTCATATTTTTATTTCATCTTCAGTCAGATTTGGAATTTTCTGTTTTTCTAGGAATTTGCCCATTTCACTCTGATCATCTACTTTGGTGTACAAATGTAGATAGCATTCCCACAAATTCTTTCAATTCCTCTAGGTTGGCAGTAATGTCCTCATTTTATTTTCTGTTTTTAATACTATAAATCTTTTTTTATCATTTGATCTACTAAAAACTGTCATTTTTGTTGATCTCTCTCTAATCTTTACTATTTTTTACCTTTGCTGCCTTGAGTTATTTGATCTTCTTTTATATTGTGCCTTTAGAAAATTCTAAAATCCTTTAGGCTCTTCCTTCGAGTTCTTTTAGGTGTGGTGTTGTGCTATTGATTTGATATCTTTCTCCTTTTTTAATGTAGGCGTTTATACTTCTATAGTTCACTATGAGCACTATTGCATCCATCAAATTTTGGTATGTTGTGTTTTTATTTTCATTTGTCTCAGTATATTCTAATTTTTCTATCATTTCTCTTTGACCCTTTGGTTATTTAAGAGTGTGTTGCTTGATTTCCATGTCTGTGAGTTTTCCTTGAATTACTCCTCTCTCGTTCCATTTTGTTATGGTTGGAGAAGATTTTTTGACTTTTTCCATGTTTAGTTATTATAAATTTAACTAATTTAAAGTATTTAAAACTTACTGAGAAATTTTTTATGACCTAACCTATGACTTATCCTGGAGAATGCTTCCTGAGAGAACATGCACTTCAGAGAATATGTATTCTGCTGGGGCTGGAGTATTCCATATATGTGTTTGGTCTAATTGGTTTATAGTGTTGTTCAAATTCCTGGTTTCCTTATTAATTTTATGCCCAAAGGTTCTACACACTATTTAAAATGTGTTATTCAGCTTTCAAACTAATTTTGGAGAATTGATTATATCCCCTCCTGATTATATATCCCCTCCTGATTATATCTCCCTCTCAATGTTTGCTTCATATACTTGGAGCGCTGATAGGATTAATCAATTTGTTGAGCAAATGAGAAAATATCAGCCATGTCGTAATGCTGCCTAACACTGATCCCTGACCATAGATTCCCACTCTACCCTCTGAGGGAGCTACTGACATTTTTTCATGTCACAGATGAGACAGTTGAGATACTGACACGGGAAAGTACATTTCCTCTTCACTCATGTCGTAAGAGTGGAGAGGGAGCAAGGATTAGCATGTAGGAGTCTGATTCCAGAGTCGGAGATCTTTTCCATAGCTCTGCAAATGAACTGCTTCCTACATTGCCAAGGAATCTGGGGAAAGATCAAGTGTTGCTGAAGAATATAAGTTTCTGTTTATATTGTTCATTTGGATCACAGTTACTTAAAAAAATATTTTAAAGTATATTAAAAACCATTTTCTTCATTTTTTCCTGATGTTCTTACCCCACATTCCCCACAGAATATTGAGCCTGGCCCATGAGGGGCATTCCCTCGCGCCATAACCTCTCACAAGTCACAGCCAGTCCCTATCGGAAGTGGGCAGGACCATTCCTTTTAGATAGCGACAATAGCACAGTAACATGACATGCCCACACTGACACATGGCATTTGCTTCTACTGCTGTCAACTGATTTCCCTAAGTCCTGTCACTCTCTATGTTCTGCCTGAAATCAGAATCTATAGGCATCAGCGTCTAGAACTTGGCCATGGCCAGTTTCATTTAACCACAACACTCAGCCATGTTGTTGAGAGACTATTGCCTCAGTTAGGAGTTATCTGTGCATTCCTATAAGAGGCTGGGACGAGAGCCAGATTTTTTGGGGTGCTTATAAGTTATCAAAAACAGTCTTGAGGGAGATTATGTCAGGGAAGGAGAACCGAGGCTGTGTGCTGTAGTGGGAAGGTCACACTTCCATTTGCCTCTGGTGAGAATGGGGGCGAGAAGGCAGGTGGGGAGAGAAAAGTCTACAGGAAAGAGATCCAGCTGTGGCATCTTCAGAGGTTTGGTATATACTAGTCACCCTATAACTTCCACTTGTAGCCAAATCTGTCAATAATTAAGTCCCAGTCACCAACAAGGAGCAAAGCTTGGATGTCAGGTGGGGGACAGTTCAGCAAAACCATGGCGTGAGTAAATGACTGGAGTGATGGGAGGGCTAGAGGAAGACAGGAAAGAAGGTGAGGCTGGGAACCGTGTGGCCACTTCCTCCAATCTGGAGGCAAGTGTATCATTACAGACTCAGAAAATTCCTTTTTTTTTTCTGCACTTGGGTAAGGGAGTCACTTGGAAGGGAGTCATCTAGGTTGTGGTATCTGTTACTTTTTTTTGTTGTTTTGTTTTGTTTTATTTATTTATTTATTTGTTTGTTTGTTTTGTTTTGTTTATACATGCACTGGGTACAGTCAGAAGC